ATAATAACCATTAGATTGTAGAATATCCCAGAATATCCAAGTATATTTTAGGTATATCCACAACATTTTTTAGTTTTGCTTAAGAAAACCAAAAAGTGAAACTGATATATAGTTTATATAACAATTTTACTTCATACGTTAATTACTAGTTTAATCTATGATATATGTAAGAATTTTACTTTATCACTTTAATTCATGGTTTATTTAGTAGTTATAGATATGTTTATATACAATTTTATAAAGTTACAATCAAACACATTGAACACTACAAACTATGATGAAAAGATTTCATGGACTCAGATTCAAACTCGGACTCCTGCCTATTGTACTAACTCCTACTTGGTATTATTTAGTTTCAACTACTCACTATACGAGCAATGAAACATTGATGCTAGTGTATTGTGATGTCTCTTATGTGTTCTTCAAGCCTCTAAAGGAAAGCATAACAAAGAAAATTCATGAAAAAGCAAAGTTACTTTATAATGCTAGTCTATAGATAGATTCAAAAACCAAAAGACCTATCAACTTAGATTTGGATGAAAAGAAGAGTGTTACCTTCTAAGATGGATGGAGCTTTTATAAAATCATAGACTGAAAAGAAAAAACAGAAAGCCAAAGAACAGAAAAAAAAAAAAAAAAAAACTGTCTGGGCACTAATGGTTATGACACTGGGTGTGTTGGATGGCCATTGCTGGGTGGCCATGCCCATAGCAATGCTGCTTGGTGGTATGACTGTAGTGCTGCTGTCTGCTATGTTGAGCCATGGGTTAGACTGAGATAGACTAAACTAGGGCATGCTGGAGCTGGACTAAGCTCGGTTGTGGTGTGGAGCTAAGGAATCAACACCTGTGAAGCTCAACTACCATGGTACTCAGCTGCAATGGCCAAGGTAGCAACATCCACACATTGGAGCCTTCAATTGCTCAAAACCTAAATAAAAATCCTAAAGTATTTATGGCTAAACTTTAAGAAGTTTTCTATGTAGGGTTTATTTACTCATATCATTTGAGAAGTCTATTTCTCCTAAAGTCTTATCAAGTGTAATTTAATAATTTACTGCATGTTCCATGTAGCAACGTTTGGTTTACTTAATAGTAGTGTTATTCTTATTTATTAATCTAATTAACTAAATGGAAAAATTATAAAAATGTTTATAATTTATAAATGTAAGATTATTCTTATTGTATATCAACCATTAGATGGTAGAATAAACTACAAAATACTAGAAAGTGTTTTGGAAGGTTTATAATTTTAAGCATGTTTAAAAATTATAAATAAAATATTAATCAAAATGAATAATAACCATTAGATTGTAGAATATCTCAGAATTATCAAGAATACTCTAAGTATATCCACTACCATCTCAGTCCCCCTACAGTTTTGCTTTAGCAAACAAAAACTAAAAGTTGATAAGATTCTAAATCACTATTTATAACAAAATACTAGATATATCATAAGAGTAATTTTTTTCATTATGATTATTTTATTAAATTATTTAAATTTCTTATAATTATTATTTTAATAACATTACATAGAATTTTTATTTCTACTAATTAAAAACATTAATAAAATTCTAAATAATTTAAAAATTATAATTAACTAATTCTATAATAAGAGTGTATAGATCTTCTAATGGTTTAGAATGGACGGTGATTAGAATTATGATATTGTAATTCTAAATAATTATCATAACTTAGGATAATAAAGTTTAGGAATAACTAAATATGTTCATAATAATCCTTTAGATCCTTTAACCCTAAACCCTTAAAAGGTTTTTGATAAGGTTTTTTAGTTTGCTTAAGTAAACTTGTAGAGGGATTGAGATGGTAGTGGATATGAATATTTTAGGATATTCTACCATCTAAAGGTTGTTATTCATTTAGATTAATTTTGTATTTATAATTTATAAACTTTCTTAAACCTTTTCTAGTATATTCTTTTTTATTCTATCATCTAGTGGTTCATATGCAATAAAATTAATCTTGTGTTTATAAATTACAAACATGCTTATAATTATAAAATTTATTTGATCAATTGGATTAATAAGTAATAATAAACTTACTATTTAGCAAACCAAGCATTGCTACATGCAATACATAGCAATGTTTTATTTTTACCATCATCTAACTTAAAAAAACATTTAAAATTAATAAAATAATATGCATTTATATATGTTTTGTTATTTATATAAATCTTTATACCTAATATTTTTATCTTATTTTGGTGTAAGTGCTATGAGTTTATCTTTCTAAAGCCATAATAAATAGCCTGATTATAATGTTTTCTTATGCTAACTGTATGGATCAAGCACTATCTATGTTGAAAACTTTGTATGGTCTAGTAATCAATTACTTTTTAGCTTTTTTATTATAATGAAACAATCTCTGATACTAATGTTTAATTTTCCCACCTTATTCAATTGCAATGTAAGGGTAATTACGAAGGTGGATAGTCATTGTCATAATAACCATTTCAGGAGTGGCCCTTGGAACAAGTGTTGAAGTAATGTTTAGACTTAGTAGAGGAAGGGATTGAAAGCTAGGATTAACTCTCTTAATCTCTTTTACAATAGAAATTTTATGTAAATGAGTCTACAAAGTTCTATATTAAAAATAACAAAACTCTTTAAAGATTCTGGAGAAGATAAATTGTCTTCTTCTCTAACCTCATCACTCTCTATTAAAGGAAAAGCATCACTATTATCACTATTTTCATCTATAGAGAGTTACATCACACAAACCTTCATATCCTCCATCACACAAAAATATAATAAACATTTGTCAATTGTGAATAATGAACTCTTGTCAGTATTTTTAAGCATGATGAGTGTTTCTTAATAGCTTTATGAACAATTATGACTATTAAGTATCATAGCTCAATAGGGAAGATTTGGTGCTCCTTGTGGAATGTTAAACATATGATATACTCAAATTTTCTTTGTTGGATGTAAATCAAATGAAATGCTTCATTTTCTTAATGTAACAACAAACTTTATTGTAAATGAAAATATGTTCTATGTGAGTGCTCACACACCACAAAAACTTACAATTTTTACTCAGTAACCCCATCTATTATCACACTTTAAGCAAGTAAGGCATGAGCACTTACACACTATGTATAAATATTATTAAAAAAACTTACACTCATGCTGGCGTGGTTGTGTGAGAACTGATTAAATCTCCAGCCTAAGAAAGAGAGGCCCAGATGCTGGCAGTGCCAGATGCCACACTCAAATTGCTGTGGTCAAGAGACAAATCGACAATGCCACCACAGATCTCACTATTATAACCCAAGGCTAAATGCTTTATTGAATCTGGGTGGGGCTAAATGCCCCACCCAGATCTAAATATCTTGCTAAGGAGCAATAATCCACCTGAAACAACCCTAAATCAGGTTTAGAAAGAACCACCACATATAACTTGGTCACATTGCTATAGCTACTCTTCATAGAGTGCACTTATATTTGTTCCATGTGAATAGCAAATGTGTTTCTATCGGCGTCTCAAGTACCTCTATGCGAGTGTGTTTGTAAATCCTGTATTGGCATCTGCAGTGCACTACAAGGTTGGATCATATGCTCGTGTTTATTTCATGTTGTAAGGCTGCCACTGGCAAGCCTAGACTGCATCAGCAAGAGATTAGAGGCTAATATATTGGATGAGTTTGTTTAATGCACCTTTTTGGTATCAAATGAACTTATGTGATGATTCTGAGAGAACTAGCCTTTGTAGTGTGTGTGTTTTTCTTTTATGATCTTTAACTACTATTGTGGCATCTTCTTGAAGAATTGAATACAGAAGGATGGCAGATGGTGAATCTGGAGTGAATCTTCTGCAAAGCCCAATAAGCGAAGTTGGGCTTGACATTGCCAAGGAGGTTGAGCACATCTAAGGAAAGATGCTAGCAGCACTATCTCAAACAAGTGTCCAAGGAAAAAGATGCAGAAGAGGATGGTGCAACTATGTTTGCAGTCCAGCACAAGATCAAGAAAAGGGGCAGAAGTTAACTTTTCCTGAGAGAGATTTTGTGGGAGGATTGCAATTGGCACATGCCAAAGCCTAGGCAGTGAGGTAGTGGCGATGAATCTTTCTGCTGAGGGAGACCTTTTGGACGCGGATGTTGAGGTGATGTCTGTAGGTAATGGGGCATGAGTAAGGACTTCACATATAGTGTGATGGGTGAGTGAGTTTGTGGTGACATAGGTGAGCTTATAGTAGCATATTTGACCTACTTTCAGCCCCTTCAAGCCCAGGAAATTTGAACCTCTGATTCCGAGAATCAGGGTTGAGTGAGTTCAGGATTGCGTTGCAGCGCAGGTTTCGCTCGCCTTCCCGGGAGCAGTCCTGTGACGCACTACTCGGCCACCCCGGCAAACTCGTGCAAGAACTTCTCGCTCCAGCAGATCGTGGACGCGACCGATGGCTTTGACGATGATCTGCTGCTCAGCATGGGCGGTTTCGGTAAGGTGCACAAAGGAAGTCGCTGTGAAGCGTGGGAATCCAATGCCCGAGCAGATTGAGATGCTGTCCAAGCTCCGCCACCACCTTGTCTCGCTCATCGGCTACTGCGACGAGAACTCCCCATACATTGTCTGTCATGCCATTCGACTCTTTTGTAAGTTTTGTGGTACGATTACGTGGCGAACGAGCCCCTCCGAGGACGTTGATGGTGATGGAAAATCGCTGCATCGTGAAGTTGCAACGAGTACTTCCAGAGGACGTCGCCAATAAATGGAAGGCCGCTCACTTCCTCTATCAGCAAGGCACCTCTCGGCGATCTCTCCAAACTTCTGGAGAGACTCGGGAGTGTAGTCTCCGGCCAGCCTTGGATCCATGATATTACTCAGCCTTCCCAGCTTTTGCCAGTGGAGAGCCCGTAGAGATGTCCCGAGGATGGAACTCTGAAATGGCCCGGCAGACACCGGATCGAGCGGCAGCCAACGATGATCGAGGAGAATGACTCGGAAGACACCTCGGCTAGCGTAGTCTTCTCCCAGCTTGTGCATCCGAAAGGACGATAAGTTATCGGTAAGTGTTTGATCTTCTAGACTTCCTGTTCTTCCTTTTTCGTTTCTCACTCTCGGAAACATCGCAGATTAGTTATCTAAAATAGCAAGCAACGTACCCAGTCGAGACCTCTAAGCAAGTTCTTGAGTGGCTTGGGTATTCTCATTGTATCTAGCACGCTTTGTCCGGGAAGAACCACCAGTACCTTACATAAATAAATTGACTCGATATTGTTTTGAAAGAAGAAAGGATCACTTGCCTGTAACCTGCGTCTTCCCCAGTGTATAGCCTCGTTGTGTGATTGATGATACAGATCGATCCTTGCAGGACCTTTGATCGCACCTCCACGGTCTTCCACCTGATGAAGTAATAGAATGTAAAGATGAGAAGAATGAAAGCTCGCTAGAACCTTTCCCCAGCCATATCCTGGAACAAACATCCTGGTTCCAAAAGGATAGTAGTTTGTATCAGCTGCGATCGTTCCATGGCGCGGAAATAGTCTCCAGGGGAAAAGAATCAAACGAGCTGGGAGCTTGTGGTACTGCAAGAAACTGAGCTTTGAAAAAATTGGTGGTCTGGCCTGGAAAAAGAGAAAGAGAGAAAAAAAAGATGAGATACACTTCTAGAAGATAAAGAACATGGAAATTGTCAATGCGAACTATCATTTCTCTCATTTTTGTGTGTCTTTTCGTCCTCCCTTGACTCTCTGACCTTTGAAATTGACAGTATGATCGATCCAAAAGTACCTGAGCTGGGAAAGTGCCATTAGATGTAAGACCGTAGTATGGAGATCCAGAGAGACTAGTGGCAGTCCAAAACCTGGAATGCTCAGAGCCTAAGAACACGGGCAGCGTAAAAGAAAAAAATCTTACTTTGCAATGAGTGGCAATGCAGCTTCGTCCAAATACCCCCGTTTTCTCTTGCGGAAGCGCAACGGAACCCAGGATGGCGAGATCCCCAAGTAGTAGAAGCCTGGCAATTTGATTCCCCATTCCCAATTGCAGCAGTAGCCACAGCTGCATGGAAGTCATGCCGATCGCCTGCGCATTGCAAATTCAAGCTTACCTGCAGTAGGCCGTGCACTCGATCAGCTTCTTGGACGGCGGCATTCTTCCCCCTACCCCGCCCAAGCTTAAGCCATTCTAAGAACCCTAACTTAAGAGCCCTAACAAACAGGGGAGCATATTCGATATTCGATTTGGTCTATTTTATGCTTGCTGAGAGGAAGATCTTGGCGCAGCTCGTCAAGGCCGCCGGCGATGGCAGGGACGCGATCGATGCGCGGCGAATCCACGCGCGTGTCTTGCGCAGGGAGCTCGGCCGCGACCGATTCCTCCAGAATCTCATGGTGGAAATGTATGGCAAATGCGGGCGATTGGAGGAAGCCCTGGCGGTGTTCGAGGGCATCGATCAGCCAAACATCTTCTCCTGGAACATCATGCTCCAGGCGATGGCGCACAGCGAGGATCTGGAGGCCACGGTAGGGTTCTTCGAGCTCATGCCCGTCCGGGACGCTGTTTCTTGGAATGCGATGCTCAAGAAGCAGTGCTGCTGCCACGAGGATGGAAGAGGGGAATCGATCCAGGCGCGGGATTTCTTCCAGAAGATGCCGCATCACGGCATCGTCGCGGCCACCGCGATGATCACAGCGCTTGGCCACGATCGCCAGGTCTCCCAGGCGCAGGAGATTTTCGACGCAATGCCTGGCCAGGACGTGGTTTCTTGGACCGCGATGACGACGGCGCTGGCGGCGAGCGGCGATCTAGACCGCGCGAGGAGGATGTTCGATCGGATGCCGGAGAGGAACGAGGTGACTTGGAAGGCATCGATCCAGGCGCTCGCGGAGAGGCGATTCCTCCCCCAGGCCAGGGAGATGTTCCAGCGAATGCCGGCGCACGATTCTTTCGCGTGTAACGCGATGATCCAGGCGTACGTCGAGAGCGGCGATCTGGAGAGCGCCCGCGAGACATTCTCGTCGATGGAGGAGAAGAACGCCGTGGCGTGGAATTTGCTCATCGTCACGCATGCCTCGAATGGGTATGTGGAAGAGGCCGTGAATTTCCTCCATAGCACTCCACACGAGGACGTGATGCCATGGAACGCAGCACTCCAATCGCTAGCGCACAGAGGCATGCTGGGAGAGGCCAGGAAGATCTTCGCTACAATGCCACAGCGAAACTTTGTTTCGTGGTCACTGATGATCGCTGCAAATGCCGAGGCCGGGGATCTAGAAGCCGCCAGGGATTTGTACGAGCGATCGCCAACGCCGCGAGACATGATCGTCTCAACGGCGATGCTCTCGGGGTATGCTCGAAACGGCTGCCTGGATCGAGCGAGGAGCTTGTTCGACGAGATGGAGAGCTGGGACGTTGTCGCGATCACGACCATGATCACGGCATACGCGAACCATGGTGTTCTTGGCGAGGCCTGGGATTTGTTCCGGAGGATGCCGCAGAGAGACTGCGTGACTTGGAACACGATGATCGCGGCCTACACACACAACTCTCGGGCCAGAGAAGCGAGAGTTTTGCTCGAGAGGATGCCGAGATGGAGCTCGGTTTCGTGGAACACGGTTCTCTCCGGTTACGCGTACGCTGGTCTCCTGGCCGAGGCAACCAAGTTGGCGATCGAGATGCCGCAGAGGGACGTGGTTTCCTTCACGATCATGCTCGCGGCGAGTGCTCTAGCCGGAGAGCTCGCTCAGGCCAAGAAGATCTTCGACGCGATGCCACAGCGAGACGCAGCGTCCTGGCACACAATGCTCGTCGTCTACGCGCAGCACGGCCGCCTCACGGACGCTCGCTCGATCTTCGAGGAGATGCCGCAGCGAGACGTGGTGTCGTGGACGGCGCTGGTGGCGTCCAACGCTCGCCACGGCCGCTGTGAGGACGCGAGGCGCTTGTTCCAGCTCATGGAGCTCGAGGGAGAGCTCCCGGACGAGGTGAGCTTCACCGGTATCCTGAGCGCCTGCTGCCACACCGGATCGCTGGACGACTGCTGGAGTTTCTTCCGGGCGATGGTGGGCGACTACAGCATCCGGCCGCTCCAGGAGCACTTCTCGTGCTTGGCGGACGCGCTGGGCCGCGCCGGGAGGCTGGCGGAAGCTCGGGAAGTGGTGGAGAGAATGCCATTCTCGCGGGATACAGCCACCGAGACGAGCTTGCTGAGCGCCAACCGGATCCATGGCGAGGTGAGCGAGGAGGATATCACAGTGGACGATCGTGGCGGTGCCTGTGCAGCGCTGATTTCCAACGCTTTGGCTGCCGCTGGGAGGAGGGAGGATCCGAGAGCTCGCGCGAGCAACGCTGGATTGAGGCCTGGGCGGAGCTGCGTTTTTGCTGCGTGAGAAAGAAAGAGGTCTTTCTTTTGATTGGTTACAAATTGGGTCATGGTTTAGGGTTTGTTTGGAGGAGCTGGGAAGTAGGTTCCATGGCGCCAGACCTCAAGAGCGACTCCTCGGCTCCACAGCCACCGGCGAAACCGGCCAAGGATGCCAAGAAGAAGAAGGACGAGAAGGAGGATCTGGTACGTGTGCTAGCTCTGCTCATGCGGGATTTGATTTGCCGACATTGGAATTTGGGTTTGCCTCTAGTCGGAGGAAGATTTGGCGCTCAAGCAGCAGCTGGAACTCTATGTGGAGAGGGCGCAGGACAGCGACCCTGGAGTCCAGAGGCTGGCTCTGGAGAGTATGAGGTACGCGAGTAGGAGTTTAATCGTTTGTGTTGTGAGGAGCTGTGTGTATGCGCAGGCAAGAGATTCGGAGTGCTACAAGCTCCATGACTTCCGTGCCCAAGCCGCTGAAATTCCTCCGCCCGCATTATGGAACTTTGAAGGCGTTCTTCCAGAAAATGCCCGAGTCGGAGCTCAAAGTGAGTAGTGCTTTGAGAAATGTGAAGCTGATGATTTTTTTCTTTCTCTTTCTTTTCCTGATAGATGTATATGGCTGATATCATCTCGGTTTTGGCACTTACCATGTCGGAAGAAGGAGAAAGGGTATGTTGAAGCTAATTTTGTTATATCAGGAACACTGAAACACTCTTGCAGGAGAGCTTGCAATATAGATTGCTCGGCTCTAAGGGTGACTTGGGTTCATGGGGCCACGAATACGTCAGGTTTGTGACAGTACGCTAGCTGTTTCTTTTACGAGTAAATTGAGCTTGATTACAGAAATTTGGCTGGAGAAATTGGCCTCGAGTTCCAAAAGCGTCGGGTATGTCTTTGTTTATAGTTCTTTTGCTGATTTTATCATGCAGTCGGAGGAAGAGTACATCAGCAGCTTGATGGATTTAGTAAAGCAAATTGTACCATTCCACTTGCAGCACAATGCAGAACCTGAAGCTGTAGATCTGCTAATGGAAGTAAGTAAATTTCTTTTCTTGACATGCTTACTGACTTGCGTGATGTTCGAAGGTTGAAACGCTTGACATTCTACCGAAATTCATGGAGAAAGCCAACTTCAAAAGGACGTGTTCCTATCTCTTAAGCTGTGCTAGGTATGTTTCTGTACGTCTTTCGCAGTCACTCATCCATTATTGCAGCTACGTACCTGAGCTAGAGGACATATCAGTCTTGGACATCGCTTATCAAATCTATTCCAAATTTGAGCAGCATACTGATGCCTTGAGGGTTGCTCTTCGGTTAGGCAACTTGCAGGTTTGCTTCAAGTCATGTGTTAAATATGTGTCTGATGCCAATATATTCTGTTAGTACGCTCGGGCTACATTTGCAGCTTGCAAGGATTTATCGGAAAGGAAGCAGCTCTGCTACATCCTTGCCCGACAGGTAATCCTTCTGAGTGATCTTCAGTGCTAAAATTGTTGTTCACAGAGTGAAACGGTAGAGCTGGATGACGAAATTCCTATGGGGGATGAGCATCGTGACGTGTTACAAGACATTATGAACAACACGAAGCTATGTGAAGGATATCTGACTCTCGCGCGGGATCTTGATGTGATGGAGCCCAAAGTACCTGAAGATATATACAAGGTACGGGCGTTTCTTTGACTTTCTCTCATTCGAGTTGTACCACAGGCTCATTTAATTGATGGAAGAGCGAGTGCCGGAGCTAGTGTTGATTCGGCTAGACAAAACCTTGCAGCCACTTTCGTCAATGCTTTCGTCAACGCTGGTTTTGGACAGGTGGACATGACCTGATTTTCAGGATCTGCACTAAAATTATTTCTTTCCAGGATCACTTAATGACATCTCCTGCTGAGTCTTCTGGATCAACCAGCACTGGTAACTGGCTTTTTAAAAACAAAGAACATGGAAAGGCCAGCGCTACTGCCAGTTTGGTAAGGCACCTTGCTAAAGAAACCTGTCCACTGTAACTTACCGGCCGTAATCGTTCAGGGTCTTATCACCTTGTGGGATGTTGATGGAGGGCTCCCACAAATTGATAAGTATCTATACAGTACCGATAACCATGTTGTCGCGGGAGCTCTCTTGGCTGTTGGAATTATCAATTGTGGAATTCGTAATGACTGCGATCCAGTGAGCAGTCCTTTCCTTTTAGTTGTGTGTTAACATTTATTTGCATGCAGGCGTATGCTCTTCTATATGACTCAGTAACTAAAGATGATCCTGCGGTACGTATTGGTGCTATTATGGGTCTTGGCCTAGCATATGCCGGCACACAAAAAGAAGAGGTTCGTTTCTTCTACCAGTTAGGTAGCGCATTGACACGTACTTACAGGTTCTCGAGCTTCTTACTCCAATCATATCTGACTCAAGGGTTGGAATTGATGTTGCTGGTTTTGCTGCACTATCTCTTGGACTTGTTTATGTTGCATCATGCCACGAAGATGCAGCACAAGCCATACTCCTTGCGATGATGGCACGAGACAACGACGATCCTTTGGCCAGGTTCTTGTGTCTGGGATTGGGACTTCTCTACCTTGGAAAGCAGGTAGTACGCTCTTCTTTGTTTGGGGATGTAAATCGAATTTTTCTGTCAGGACGCTGCTGAGGCCACCTTTGAAGTGGTTAAAACAGTAAACGAGAAGATTTCCAACTATTGCCAAGTGACTCTCGAATCTTGTACTTATGCTGGTACGGGAAATGTTTTGAAGGTATGTCTTTTCTATAGTGATACTGCAGTGGTATAATAATATTTTTGAGCAGGTCCAAAAATTCCTGAGTCAATGCTCTGATCATTTGGACAAAGGCGAGAGTCACCAGGGTGCAGCGGTTCTAGGCATTGGACTTGTTGCTATGGCAGAAGAGCTTGGGAGCGATATGGCTTTAAGAGCTCTAGAGCACCTTTTGCAGTATGGCGAGCCAAATATTCGTCGAGCCGTGCCTTTGGCTCTGGGTCTCTTGTCGATTTCGAATCCGAAGGTAAGACTTGATTTTTCTTTAAAAATTGTGCTCATCTATTGGATTATATCAGATTAATGTCATGGACACATTGAGCAGGCTGAGCCATGACACTGACTCGGAAGTCGCGATGGTATGAGCTTTACGAGTTCTTCTCCGAATGAAATCGTTATTGTTCTCTCCTGTTTTTCCCAGGCTGCAACCATTTCTCTTGGACTTATTGGCGCTGGAACAAACAATGCGCGTATTGCGGGAATGCTTCGAAGCTTGTCCAGCTATTACTACAAGGATCCCAGCCTTCTGTTCTGCGTAAGTTTGATCTCTCTTGTTTTTCTTTTTTTTCTTCGTTTTCATCTTAGTTTTGTCAATCTCTGTCACAGGTTCGGATCGCCCAGGGACTTGTACACATGGGAAAGGGACTAATCACTTTAAATCCTTACCATTCTGATCGTTTCTTGCTCTCGACGTAAGCATCGACACTTGACTGCTTAAACCTCTTTGTTCTTGCTCAATATCTCTCTTGTTTAGGCCTGCCATCTCCGGCATTATTGCCGTTCTTCATGCGTGCTTGGATATGAAAGCCATCATCCTAGGGAAGTACCACTACGTTCTCTACTATCTCGTTCTAGCAATGCAGGTAACATTGCGCATGTCCTTTTTTCTTTGTTCTGGGGGAGGTAACGCTGTCTTTCTTCCTTTTCTCCAGCCTAGGATGCTCATGACTGTAGACGAGAACTTAAAGCCACTGCCTGTGCCCGTTCGAGTGGGAATTGCTGTGGACACAGTCGGTCAGGCAGGGCGGCCCAAGAGCATAACAGGATTCCAAACGCACACCACTCCAGTTCTTCTTGCGACCGGTGAAAGAGCGGAGCTTGCCACTGAGAAGTAAGCTCAAAGAGAGATTTCTCTTTTTCTCTCTTGTTCTTCTCTAAGCGTGTGTTCTTCCAGGTACACACCCCTTTCATCTGTGTTGGAGGGATTCGTGGTTCTTCGTGAAAATCCAGACTACGTCGAGGACCACCTTAATTGAGAAAGAACCAAAGTTTTCGCTAAACATGGCCAGTTTTGTCAAAATCGACGGCAATCTAAAAATCTTCGTTGGCGCTTTATTTCAAATTTTAGGGCTAGAGTCTAGGGCGGGAGAATGGAGGAGCAAGAGCGTTTCGATGTGGAGTACCTCAAGAGCACGGTCGCGGAGGTTCTCGCGAAGGGATGCGCGGCGGTGGTGGCGGCGGAGCCCGGCGATCCGGTTGCGTATCTCAGCCTTTGGCTCCACAAGTACGTAGACAATGTGGAGGTTTTGGAGCGATTGAAGAGGGAAAAGGCTGTGGAGAAGCAGCTAGAAGAGGGTCAAAAGGCCGTGGAGGTCGTGAGGAAGGAGCGCCTGGAATTCTCCAAATCATGGAGGGAGGATACTCTCAAGGCGTTGCGAGGGATCAAGAATGATCCTTATCTCTTGTGGAAGTCCACATTGGAGGCCATATCAATTTTCACTGGTATGCTTTCTTTTCTTCCATCTCTTTCTTCCTGCTTGCTCTTTTCTTTCTTCTTGGAATTGAAAGGACTTTAGTATGCGTTTGTTTTCATAGTTTGGAGACTTTCTCTCGTTTTTCCTTCATTGTTTCCGATAGCTTTAAGAGCTTTTTGGATCGGAAAGACAGGTTGCAGCTCTGCCTATGTCGCAGCAGTCGCTGAGAAGATGTGGGAGCCCAAGCCGGATCCAAAACCAGAGGGAGAAGAAGGCGAGGAGGGTGCAGAGCCTCCGCCAGAGGAAGAGGAAGAGGAAGAGCCAGAGCCCGAGCCAGAACCAGAGGAGGAAGAGGAAGAGGTAGCTGAAGAAGGTGGTGGAGAAGGCGGTGAAGGAGGAGCTGAGGGCGAAACGCCAGAAGGTGGTGAAGCTCCACCGAAGAAGAAAAAGAAAGAAAAGCCTCCCAAGCCAATCAACTACAAGAAGAAGATATTGATCTACACTGCTGCTACTCGAAGGAGCTTGTTTATCCTCAACAAGCAGTACAACAAGAAGAAGGTAGCTAATGAGTTTGGAGCTTGGCTGTCTTCAACTTTGCGTTTATTTCTGCAGGGTCCTGTAACTTTTAGGATATTGTTGGAACTACTGCCTCAGCTGCACATCCCGAATGTGTTGTACCAAGAAAGTATGTGAAAGTTTATTTTATTTTATTTTATTTATTTATTTAGTTTAATTCGTGCCACAATGTCAAAATATCGTCCAGACATGCAGTTTTTCGGCGCTGTTCCAAGGCTGGGCGCTTATTTTGCAGTTCCATTGGTTATCAATACAGTTCCTCCTGAGGTTGTATCTCTCTTTCAATGCTCCACGCTTTTTTATAGTTCATATGTTTCCAGATCGTGGCCATATTGTGCGCGGACACGTTGAAAGGAGACGAGTATGGCACTGCGAAACCTTTTGACGATTCTGAGAGGGAGTTCATTTCAAGAGCTGCTACAATCTTGGGGGAAGTGCTGGGTGAAAACCACGTTGAAAACATAAAAGACTACAAAACTGAGGAACTAATGGCCCAACTCAAGGAGAAGCTGAAGCAGATAGAAGTTGACAGAAAGGCGGCCTTGAAAAAGGAGAAGGCGGAAAAGCTGGCTGCAGAGAGAGCTGCAAGGAAAGCTGCTAGAGAGGCTGCTAAAGAGAAGGCCAAGGCAGAAGGTAAGGAACTTGAAGAAGAACCGGAAGAACCCGAAGCAGAACCGGAACCGGAGCCTGAGCCAGAACCAGAGGCTGCTGAAGGAGAGGGTGGTGAAGGAGGTGAAGCTGAAGAAGAGGAAGAGAAGGAGGAAGAGGAAGCTCCTCCTGAGGAAGAAGCACCACCAGAAGAAGAACCAGAACCTGAAGAGCCAGAAGAACCCGAAGAGGAGCCGCCAGAAGAAGAGTCTCCCGCCGAGGGCGAAGTTGTCGACGTGAAGCAAAAGCTCTTGAAGACTTTACAGCGGGACATTGCAAAAGCTAAGAAGAAGATTGAAAAGCTCGAGGCAAAGAATGCCAAAGCCAAGGAGGTTATGGAGAAGAAGGCCGAGACTGTTGCAAAGCTGGAAGACGAGATGGCTGTATCTCAGTCACTTTTGGGCCACTTACAAAACTTGCTGGGTGGTGTGATGGAGCTTATCAACGGAATTAAGGTATGTTTGAATACATACCAATCGTGATCTCATACTTGCTTTCAGGACGTTGAAAGAAACCGTATCATACGGTGGTGCTTTCCTCCTACAAATGTCTATCGTGTTTTGAAGGTCTGCAATGATCAATGCCATTGATGAACGTCTGATTATCTCTTTCATGCAGGGAATGCTCCATATTCTTGGACACGACAGGAACGTTGCGGACTGCTGGGTAACCGCGCGCGAAATTTTCAAGTGCGACTTTTTCAAAGTTAGTTCTCCCCACCCCAATACATTTTAAAAGCTAGCACCACCAAAATGTTAAGTCCTCGGATGCAATGTGCTAACAACGAGGATGCGTGCAGGAGCTACAAGAATACGATGCACTCAAGGAGGACAACCTGGACAAATGGAAATATGGCAAGAAGTGCTTGGATGTAAGCTTGTCCTGGTTTGCTCTAATCGGGGAGAAAAAAAAAAACAACCGGATTCCTCGTGCTTGCAGGAGCTCAAGGACGACATGATGAAGGCAGACCCTCCTATGGGATTTGTAAGTTCCTACCGAGGTGTTTTGCATTTCTCTGATCCGAGGCACGACAGCTTGGGAGGCGCTGGCTACTTGCCGTGAAGAAGTTGATGACAGCAGGCGTCAAGCATAAGAAACTCACTCGAAAGACTGAAGCTGCAGCGTTGGTATGTACTCTAAGAACTCCCATCGTCCGTGAGACATCTATTGGGTCTTCCTTTTTCAGGTGTTCGCTGAGGCACAACTCAAACAACTGGTTGCAGAGATGGATTTGAGAGTGGTTCAGGAGGAGGATGCCAGGTTGACTGCTGAAGAGCAGAAGGTGCAAGCAGACATTGAGGCAGACAGAATTGCGAAAGAAGGAGCTGATGCTGCTGCTGCTGGCGGTGAAGCACCTGCGGAAGGGTGAAATGGGGACTTATAAGGACAAGGGAGGATCTTTTTGGGAGGATTTGGGGGACATAATAAAAGGTGGCGGACCACGGATCCTTTTCTTAATGCTGGGCAGAAGCATATTGGTCGGAGTTTCGCTGTTACTGTTGCTGCTGCTGCTGCTCGACCACAGTCCGAGCGATAGAGATGAAGGTGGAATCCACTCCGGAGAATCGGGTCCTCTTGAGAATATTATCCAAGGGAAGAGGACAGCAGTGTGCCTGGTTGGAGAAGCACGTCACTTGGAGCTCACGGGGCCGAGCATCCGCAAATACGTTCTCGAGACTCTGAAGAACAGCAGCGTTTTCATCAACATGCCCCTGGACAGCAACTCATACAAAATGTTCGTGCTCGATGGCGGCGGTGGATCTTACAACTTCACGTCGGCAAACATCTTCTCGCCGCAATACATATGGGAGACGAAGGTTTCCAGAGAAACATTGACAGCCAAAAAGTCGCCCCGAGCGCTCCAAGGCCTGCTCCAGTACTTCGCCCTGAACGAAGGGTGCGGGACGATGATCCGGCAGCAGGAGGAGCTCCAGGGCTTCAAGTACGACTGGATCGTCAGGACGCGGCTGGATACGTTCTGGACGGCACCGATACCCGTGGAGTACCGAAACTCCACGTACACAGTTCCTCGCGGAACGAGGTACGGTGGCTACAACGATCGACTGGGTGTTGGGGACAGGAAAACGAGCAGAATCGCGCTCCAACGTCTCTCCGCGTTGCCGCTCCTCCACTCGGCTGGCTACCGGAGCGAGAACTCAGAGTCGGTCTATAAAGCACAGCTCAAGCTTGAAAACGTGAAGGTGGCGGAGGACGAGTTTTCTTTCTGCGTGCTAAGCAACCGGAGCTTTCCTTACCCGCCAGGAAGGCACGGAGCGCTCGTAGCCTCGATCCAAGGCAAGGGGCCACTGAACGGAGCGTACTGTCGGCCGTGTAGGCCGTCCGAAAGCTCCAGCCGGTCCCGGGAGATGGTGGAGAGGATGGTCGACGCTTGGATTCCCACCGAAGCGGCGGAGGTGGAAGTGTGTGACGGATCTGGGGGCTGGGAAGCGGGGTGGCCGGAAGTGTTTGATGCCGCGGCCGGGGAGGAGGCGGCCGCATTGAGGAAGGAGAGCGATGGCATCAGCAAGGCCGAGTGCGTTTCAAGGCTAGCGAGATTCAAGGACCGATGGAGCTCCTGGAAGGGCCCGAGTACTACGTTGATCTGCGAATCAATGGACCGTTGACTTTTCTTGTCCGTTGACCTTATGGTCAATCAGTAGACTTAGTGTCGGAAAATATCCGGAGTCTGAGACCGTCAACCGTTGAATTTCACAATGGTCAATTTTGATCCAAACGATCTCCACGGTCATTTGCGTACATGGTGTAGAGCAGAACGTATGGCGCGGACTTTAGCGTGGTGAGCTTGGAGGCTCGCTTGGCCGCGTGGGATCCCCGGCCAACGTCGTGGTGGAGCTTGCAAGATCCCACCAGGGTCATCCAGGCAGCAGAGTCCGGGGTGTAAGGCATGGATTGGACGAGCTCCTGGGCCTTTTCGAGCTGCCCCGAGCGTCCCATGACACCCACCAGGCACCCGAAGTGTTCCATCGTCGGGACCATCCCTCGGTCCTGGATCATCGATCCAAACAGGCTCCGGCTCTCGCTCAGCAGGCCGAGATGGCTGCAAACGCTGAGAATGTCGACGAAGGTTATGTCGTTGAGGCTCGAGGCTTCGAGATCCATGTCGCGGAGGAGCTCCACGGCGGGGGAGTATCGTCCGTTGAGTGCGAACACGGAAACCATCGAGTTCCACGAGACCTCGTTGCGCAGCGGCATGGAATCAAACACGAGCTTTGCGAGCTCCACCTCCCCGATCTGTCCGTACATGGAGATCATGCTTGTCCAGGAGACGATGTCTCGCACGGTCATGCTGTCGAAGATGCTCTTGGCTTCGTGGAGGTGGCCGTGGTGGAGGTGGGCGACAATGAGAGCCGTCCACGATGCCTCATCCAGGCGCTCCATTCTGGTGAGGAGTTTCTCGGCCTCTACGAGATACCCTGCCTGGGCATATGCAGCGATTAGGACGTTCCAGGAGCTCGTGTCCCTCTCGGGCATGGTATCGAAAATGGCGCGTGCTTGCTCCAGATGCCCGTGCTGCGAATATCCAGTCAACATGGTATTCCAAGTCACCATGTTGACTTTGGTCAGAGAGTCAAAGAGTTTCCTGGCCTCGTCCATTTGCCCGCGGAAGGTATATGCCGCCACCATTGCCGTGGAGGCCACCACGTTGTGAAAGGGCATCTTTTCAAAGAGTTCCCGCGCCTTGTGTGGCTCTCCGTTATGAGCGTAAGCCTGGATCATGGCGGTCCACGTAACGAGATCGCGCTCGGGCATGGAATCAAAGGTCTTTCTTGCTAAAACGACATGCCCAGCAAGAGAATAAGCTGTGATCACGCACGTCCAGCTGATAAGATCTCGTTCAGCCATGGCTTGGAAAAAATGCAGTGTTTTTTGTAGTTGATTATCTTGTGCAAAGGCGTCCATGATCGCGTTCCAGGACGAAACATTGTGTTCTGGCATGGAATCAAAAAAGAGCTCCGCTGATTCCAAATGCCCGTGCTGGGCAAATGCTGCAAGAAGAGCGTTCCAGGATATAATGTTTCTCTCGGGCATTAGATCGAAGACTACCTTTGCTTTTTCGATCTCTCCCTCTTGTGCATAGGCACCAAGAATCGCTGTCCAGGAAACGAGGGTTCTCTCGGGCATAGAGTCGAAGAGCTTGCGCGCTTGGGCTAGATCCCGGGCCTGGGCATACGCAGCAAGGATTGTCGTCCAGGAGATCACATGCTGGAGAGGCATGCGATCGAAAAGCGATCGCGCATTGTCGATCCATCCGTTTTTGGCGCACGCCTCGATCACGATGTTGTACGAGAAGAGGTTAGGGTTCTTGATAGCGTGAAAGGTTTCCAACGCAAGTTGGGGGCTGTGGCACTTCCCGTAGGCCTCGACCATCAGATTGCTGAGGTATCTGTCCCCTCTCTCCCGGATTTCCAGATCGATCGCCCGCGCGGCGGCAAAATCCCCCACATTTCCAATGTCCCTCAGTGATTGGGAGAGAGCGATTTGGTCGAGAACTCTCGGCTCCATGGCCAGGCATTCTAGCTGTCAATAATTTGTTCTCCTCTGGCTCTAGTTCGTGCTAGCGGCGAGTCCAAGCATCTCGCTAAGGCAAGATATCTTGCAAATCTACCGATCGAGGCGTGTGGAAAATGCAAGTGGCCCGTGGGGGTTCAAGCCTAATAAATTCTGCATCGCTGCTAATGCTATTAGGAGTTGGAATTGACTTGAACTATTGATTTGTAAAACAAAAAACGTTATATGGCGCATTAAGCCTTTATTTAATTTTCTAACATTTTATTCTTTCATAATAATGAAAATTAAAATAAATTTATCAATGTGAGGGCCAAGTGTACAGTTACGATGCCGTATACTAATATTAGCGTAGGGGGATTTTGATAGCCGTCAGATTGGTTTCAATCTGGACCACTCGCCTCTGTATGTTTTTGGGCTAATTGATATGCACATTTTTATATTCCCTTTCCATATTCTAAGCACTCACATTGATGGAGATGAGAGGCAGCTTTGATTGTCCTTGAGGAGTGCTTGGATTTGGGATTTTAGTTTAGATCTAACTTTTGCATCGTCTAGATCTAACTTTTTCCATTTCCTTTCTTTTGTTCTTTCTTTTCAGGGTTTTGGTTTAAATCTAGCTTTTTGCGTTGTCTAGATCTACCATTTCCTTCTAGTTTTTTGTCATTTCTCTGTTTTTGCTCTTTCTTTTTAGTTCATCTTCATGGCAGATCAACAATCTCCTCCTTTAACTCTAGAGCAACAGTTGGTACAATTACTTGATGTTATACGCTTGCAATTGAACAACTAAACTCAGTTGATGGCGGCGTTCACGGCACATGGTACAACTCCTCCTGCTCTTGGTGCCAATCCTCGCGTTCGGCCAGAGTTCTTTCACGGGAATCCTGGGGATGATGTGTACTATTGGTTCGATCACTTCACGGTGATTGCCACATATCATTCTTGGGATGATGCTTGATGGTTGCATAAGTTTCCCATGTGTCTCCAAGGGATGGCGTTGCAGTGGTACAATGGTTTGAGTGCAGCCACTCGTGGGGATTGGAGTGTTCTCCTACACATCTTCAAATATGCCTTCGGACATGCCAATGATTGCGCCACTCGTGGGGATTGGAGTGTTCTCCCGGACATCTTCAAATGCGCCTTCGGACATGCCGATGATTGTGATGATACTTTCCAACAATTGCATCGTCTTCGCCAAGGGCCATTTGAGTATTTAGCGTTCGTTTCCGAAGTCTTTTGCTTCATGCGGAGCCAAATATGTCGGAGCGGATCAAGCTAAGAATGTTGTGGCCAGCACTTCGTCAAGATCTTGCAATTTGGTGTTTGTTTCCGAAGTCTTTTGCTTTGTATGGAGCCAAATATGTCGAAGCGGATCAAGCTAGGAATGTTGTGGCTAGCACTTCGTCAAGATCTTGTCGGACTTGTGCATGCACTTGCTCCTACCACCTTTGACGATGCTCTTCGCTTAGCACAACGTTATGAGACGTCACCTTTTCCACTTCTCGCTGCACGTCCTTCCGCTCCACTTCCTATGGGTGATGGTCTTGTTCCAATGGAGGTTGATGCTGCTGCTGCTCGAGTCTAAGGACAAGCGCGAGGACGTGGTCGTGGCCGTGTGTAAGCTCCTGAATTTGGACTTCCCGGGAGGTCACCCAGCCCAGTACTATTCAAACCCAATGACACTTAACCCTAAATATCCCAAGACCCTTAACCGATTGGAAAAAGGGGTGCACTCTTATTCATGGGCCCTTTCCCTCTATATTTGAACCCCATGGACCATCTCTCAAGTCGTTCCCTTTGGTTGCTTACAATCCACCACGCTTCCCTGCAAGTTCACGCCCTTGTGAACAGAAGCTGAGAGCCACATCTCTCCCGAGAGCCCCGCTCTCTTGACACCCTACCCCTCGGGTTGAGCCCAGTGGGAGCAAACTGGACCAGCCATATGTCAATCAACATATGGTGTGATTCCCTTAGCCAACCAACAGAGTCGGACCCAAGACCGCTCTGATACCAAATGTAAACTCCTGAATTTGGACTTCCCGGGAAGTCCAAACTCAGAAGCTTACACTGTGATGTTCGCTACTAGGCGTGTGATGAAGTTAGTTATACTTATCGGCGTTGCCGTCATTTTCCGGATTGGCGACCTCCATTTCCTGGGTGGAGACCTTGGCGTCAGCAACATCCCCTGGGTGCTGCTGCAGTGGAAGGTTTGGACACCAAGATGCATCCGGGAAACGAGGAGTCGCGTGAGTAACGGAGGGACCTTGCATGAATAAATCAGTGACCCCTCCATCTTTCTTTCGAGAGTATTATCAAGGGGTTCACTCGGCACCGGTTCATCTAGTGTTTACTTTCCAAGTTCGTTTTTATAACAAAAAGTCTCTTATTATTCTCTTCGTGTTGGTTGATACAGGTTCGAGTTTATCTTCTATTGCTCAACCTGTTACCACACGTTGTCGTCTACACTTGCGTCGTGCAGCGGAACCAGTTTTCATTCTTTATGGCAACAGCCGTACACATGCATGTGCATGGGATGAGGTGGACCTAGTTGTGCGTGTGGGCAATCTCGAGCTTGAGTTGCAGTCGTTGCGGGTGGTGCCGAGTCAGGCTTTTGACCTCATTCTTGGTGTGGATTGGTTGCAGCGCAATCATGCCAAGTGTGACTTTAAGGCTTCTCCCCCTTGTCTCATACTTTTTTATGTTTCATCCGTTCCTCTCACTTCCATACCTCTTCGTTCTTGTACTTTTACCTTTGCTTCCATTACTTTTGTTCCCCCACTCTTTCCTTCTGTGTTTCCATCTTGTTCTACTTTTCCCTTTTCCGATCCCTCCAACAATCTTTGTGTTGCAGCAGTTGACCGGCTCATAAAGGAGTATTCTGATCTCTTTGAATTTAACCTATCGTCTAGGGCCAAGATTGCCACACGTCATCCGATTCTAACCGGGGATGCTCGTCCAATCAAGGTTCCTGTTCGTCGTCGGTCACCTAAAGAGATCAAGATTTTACGAGCAAATGTCACGGAGATGTTGGAGAAGGGTGTTATTCAGAAGTCGCGGAGTCCTTGGGCATGTGAACCTCATCTTGTGACGAAGCCTAATGGGAGTATTCGTTTCTGCATCAACTATCGTCCATGAAACGAAATGACAATCCCAGATGTGTATCCTCTTCCTCACACTGCTGATCTCTTGGATCGTCTGGGGCGAAGTCATTGGTTCACCAAGCTAGATCTTGCTTCTGGGTATTGGCAAGTACCGATGGCCGAAGAAGATATTCCTAAGACTGCTTTTCATACACTATTTGGTTTGTACGAGTTCTTGGTAATGCTGTTTGGTTTGAACAATGCTCCAGCAACTTTCCAGCAGATGATGGACGAGGTTCTTTGCGATATGCCGGAGGTGACTGCTGACTTCATTGATGATGTTTTGATCCACTCAGAGGGGACGTGGGAGGAGCATGTTTGTGATGTTTGTAAAGTGCTGGATTGGCTACGCAACGTTGGTTTAAAGCTGAAGCGGTCAAAGTGCGTGTTTGGGTCCAAGGACACAACTTATCTTGGGTACCATATTTCTCATGAGGGTTTGTAAGTTGATCCTGACAAACTTGTGGCTGTTCTAAAGTTCCCTACTCTGAAGTGTGTGAATGATGTGCATCGCTTTTTAGGTAAGGTGCAGTATCTCGGTCGTTTTGTGGATCATCTTTCCGATCACACTACACCATTGCGAGCGTTGCTGAAGTCATCAACGTCATCTTTCATCTGGTCTCCGGATTGTGAGCGGGCGTTCATGAATCTCAAAGAGCTATTGACGACTCCTCCGGTTTTGGCATATCCTGACTACACTTGACCTTTTATTTTGCGCGTGGATGCTTCTGACATTGGTCTTGGAGGTGTGTTGATGCAAGAGAGCTCGAGTGTGCCTGGTCAGCGCCATCCCATTGCATACATAAGTCGTACATTACAACCAGCGGAGATGAACTACTCTACAACAGAGAAGGAGTGTCTAGCAGCAGTCTGGGGTTTCAAGAAACTTCATGCATATCTACATGGTTCTCGGACGTTACTTGAAAGTGACCATGCTACTGTTACTTCATTATTGAAGCGGAAGAACCTGGTTGGTCGTACGGCTCGATGGGCTTTGAAACTTCAGATATATGATTTCGATGTTGTTCATCGCCCAGGGAGTTCTATGGCTGATGCTGATGCCCTTTCTCGAGCTCCTCTTCCTTCTCCACTCACTTCTCATGTTTCTGACGAACATGTTGTTCCAGCATCTGTGGATTTTCTAGATGAGGATTCTGTGCCGTCAACGGTTGCTGTCCTTGACGTTCAGTGTCCACAGGGCGCAGAGCAAGATCTACCTTCTTTTGATGAGGTTCGCGAGGCTCAAAAGATTGAGCCGTGGATTCGAAAGCTTCGAGATGGGTTTGAGAATCCTACATCACTTGCTAATGACTTGCCTTTCCGGCATTTACATTCTCAATATCACCTTGAAGATAGCCTTCTTTATTTTGTGGGGACGGATCCTAATGATCATTTACGGCTGGTGATGCCTTCAGTGTTTATTCCGCGGTTTCTCCATGCCTACCATGATTCTCCTGTTCTAGGTGGGCATATGGGACACCGTCGTGTCACCAAGAAGCTGCGTAGGTCTTTCTATTGGCCAGAAATGTGACATGATATTATCCAATATATGCGCAGCTGTGTTTGGTGCCAAGCTCGTAATACTCCCCCTCGTGCTACAGAAGGACGGTTGGAGTCAATTGCGGTTTCCCGTCCATTTTAGTTAGTGGTGTTTGATTTTATGGGACCTTTTCCACGGTCGACTGCTGGCAATGAGTATGTTATTATTGCT